CATCCATCCATCCATCCATCCATCCATCCATCCATCCATCCATCCATCCATCCATCCATCCATCCATCATCTTTTACCCACTTCTTCCATTTTGGGTCATGGGGGCCCATGTCCAGCACTCACTGTGCGAGGGGCGGGGGACACCCTGGACGGGTCGCAAATCTATCGGGTCTTGTCTGTTCAGAAAAATATCTCAGACCACTGGACAGATTTGATTCAACTCTTGGAAATTAACAATTAGTTGTGCATCTACAACTAATGAACTTTTGCAGTCAACCCAACTCATGATGGCCGCTACAGCTAATCAACGTTGGCCTAAACAAAAATGACTTTTTCAGTCAAATTTAAAGATAAATTTAAAGATAAATTTAAAGATAAATTTGATGCGATAGTAACGGAGAATCGTTCACAACTTCTACAAGTGCTTACAAGCCATGAAGATTTTTAACATCACTTCTGACTGCTGTGTAGAAAATGTTGTCTGCTTCTTCTGATCACTCTCACGTCTTCAACCTTTACCAGAGAGCTGCTCTCAGCAAAAAATATTATTTTATTTAATGCACGCACAGCCATTAATCTGGTTCTAAACCATGTATGATGACTGGTTTTTAATTTTTCTGTAAAAAATAAACTAAGTAATGCCGTCTCATTTTATTTTGACCTTGTGATGTTCTGGAGAGCCCTCATGTGGCGTTTTCTCCATAGTAGATGTCAAGGAGATGTTTCAGGAGTGACTTGTGACAAAAGGGCGGCAGCAAAGATCACTGTGAATGTTTAGAAGAGAGTAGTGTGACCAGCAGTCTTTGATGGTCTGGAGACAGAGACATGGACAAAAAGACAGGAGACAGAACTGGAAGTGAAGAAATTAAGCTGTTGAGGTTCTCCTGAGGAGAGACAAGGATGGAGAAGATCAGGAATGAGATCATCAGAGGTACAGCACAGGTTGGACAACTGGGAGATAAAGTTAGAGAGGACACACTGAGATGGTTTGGACATGTCCAGAGGAGGGACAGTGGTTTGGACATGTCCAAAGGAGGGACAGTGGTTTGGACATGTCCAAAGGAGGGACAGTGGTTTGGACATGTCCAGAGGAGGGACAGTGAGGGACAGTGGTTTGGACATGTCCAAAGGAGGGACAGTGGTTTGGA